AAAATATATTTATATAAATATATATAAATAAATAAATATATATATATATATAATAAATTTATATAAATATATGTATATAAATAAAAATTTGAGGGATGGTGTAATGGAAAGCCATTTTTCCATGTCAACTTCCCAAGTTTTTACTAGACCAGAGCAAGGATAATCCTTGTTAAACCCACCTCTGGTGCTCACACATCATTTGGAAAGAGCCAGGACCAGCTAATTCAGCTCCTATGGAAAAACACCCAGTGGGATGGATGGCCTTTGGTTCTGCTATGTTTTGTTCTGGAGGAGGAGGATCCTTTTGGATTGCTCCTGTGGGAATGCTGAAGGCTTGAATCCTGTTGCTCTAAAAGCCATCATTTATAATTAAGGAATGAGCTGAAACCTCTGCTGTGGCTGCATCCAATGCTGCTCCAAAGGTGGAGAGTACTGCAGGCAAACCAGCTTCAGCTGCAAATCTTTTGTCTCCAAAAATCCATCAGAAATCCGTGATCCAGCCCAGGCAGGCCTGCAGAATTCCCTCTGTACCTACTCAAGCTTTTGCAGGAGATTTTTAGTAATCTGTCTCCAATGTTAATGTGGTGGAGGGTGTTTGTAGGCTCTTTGCTCTCCTGTGGGTTTAATCCTGGATGTGTGTGTGAAAAGGAATCTGGTCCTACCCCGCAGAAGCCTTTCCCAAAGGTGGAGACCACCCCTGCCCTCCAGATATCCATCCGGTGGGGTTTAACTGCGCACTGGGGATGGGGAAAAAAAAAGAGATTTATTCGGTGTATCAGGGCTCCATTGTCCTGAGTGCAGGGAAGGAGAGCCCATCTGCAGTAGGGGATATCCCAAAATAACAAGGAAAATACAGTGTTTATACAACGCTGGAGACTTGTATACTACTGCTGCTGAGTCCTAAGCTCGCCCGGAGAGCTGCCAAGTGTCGGGAGTGCTCCTGGAGGAAGGAGCTGCAGTAGCTGCTGGAGCAGCAGAGCAGAAAAGGGACTTTTAAAAACCATGGATTGGCAGAGGGGAAAGCATTTGGAGCTCCGGCTCCTGGGATAAATGGGCTATCAGATGGGGCTGCCTTGGTTTCCTTTGCCCTTCGCCCAAATTCAGCTTTGTTGCTTGAGTGGTGGTTGTGTGGAGGGGTCCCTGTGAATTAAAGTACACTCCGTGTGCATCTCAATTAAGGCTGATTTTCTGCCTTAATTGAGATGTGAATTCTTGAGTCGTAGATGTAAATGTAGTGGTTGCTGTGGGAATTAAAACGTGCAATTGGAATTGAATGCTGGACAGGCTGGTGGGATGTGACTGCGGCGAGGTGCCGGCACGGGTTGAAAGCTAAGGATGTGTCTGGTTTAAAACACTTTATTGAGCAGTCTTTCACTCCTTCTCGTGATGTTCTGCCCTCACAGAGGTCTCTGCAGCCTTCTGTGTGATTTGAGATGCCTCTTGCATTCCCAGGACCATCTGAATGGCTTTCCAAGGGGAACAGCTCCGTGGGGTTTGCTGTACAAAATGTCCTGAACACCACTCGTGCCATGTCTCTGCCTCTTGGCACGGTTCTGGGAGGCAAATGCAAAACCAGGTTCTTCCTGGGGAAAAAAAAAAAAATCACAGCTGTGTTTCCCAGCCCTCCCGGGCTCCCAGGAGCCGAGGTTTCAGTTCAGGCTGCACGGGAAGGTGGGGGAAGCAGGGAGCAGGGATTATTTTTGATGCCAGGAAGGAAACGCCGTGCTTCCCTTTCCCTGCTGGGGTTGGGCTCCTGGAACTCCCTGTCCCCAGCCCATGCTCCAGCTGATGCTGTGTCATCTCCAGCTTCCACATCCCTGCTGCCTTCACCTGGCAGATTCCTTGCCTGGAAGGGGAGCAGCAGCAGCAGTGATTTGTTGTGACCCTTACACAAGTGTGCAGCTCTTTTAATAGAATCATGGAATGGTTTGGGTTGGAAGGGACCTTCAAGACCATCTCATTTCATCCCCTGCCACAGGCAGGGACACCTTCCACTAGCCCAGGTTGCTCCAAGCCCCATCCAGCCTGGACTTGAACACTTCAGGGATCCAGGGGCAGCCACAGCTTCTCTGAGCAACCTGTACCAGGGCATCACCACCCTCACAGCCAAGAATTTCTTCCAGATACCCCATTAACCCCTGCCCTCTGGCAGTTTGAAGCCATTCCCCCTTGTCCTGTCACTCCAGGCCCTTGTGAATTGTCTCCCTCTGTCCTTCTTGTAGCTCCTTTCAGGTACTGGAAGGTCACCCCCAAAGCCTTCTCTTTTCCAGGCTCAATAGTCCCAATTCCCTTAAACTTTTCTTGTAGGAGAGGTGCTCCATCCCTCTGATCGCCTTGGTGGCCTCCTCTGGACTTGCTCCAGCAGGACCATGTCCATCACATTTAGCAGCTCAGAGGAACTTCTGGATTTACAAGCAAAGATTTTCAGCCTGGCTTTGGACTTGTACAACCCTTTAAATTCGAAGTCCATATTCTCTAAAGTGATTTTGCAGTGCTTGGAGCCTTACCTGATGAATATGAAATGGCCAGTTGACAATTTGGTAATAGTTGATAAATATGAATAAGTTGATCAGTATGATGAGGTGATAAATATGAAGTGGCCCATGACTGACAGTAGTAGGTGGGAAAAGCCTGAGCTGAAATAACAAGCCTTGCCATGAAACTGTAACCCCCACAAATCAGTAACTTGCGGATTGGGACCCTGGTGAAGATTTGTAGACCTTTAATCAGATTTATCCAGGCTTCTGGCATTCCCTGGTGTGCAAGGATTGCTCCAAGCAATCCTGGATCCCTGGCAAAGCACCGAAGGTTCTTTTCAGCATGTTAAACTCAACCCCACGAGGCAGCTGCTAAACATTTGCCAACCTCTTTTATATATAACTACCCCGTGGGACAGGCACAGACCTTTACCTTCCTGGCTGTAACCAACATCTCACTGTTAATTCAAAGTGTTAATTACTCTCAGGCCTGAAGACGATGCTTTGTGCCATGGGCTGAAAGGTTAATCTGCAGCATAAACCCAAACCCCCTCTGTCAGGCATAAACATTAGTGATTCAAAACATCTTTTTTCTTTCCTCCCCCCGATTTTCAGTGCCAATTGGTTCAGCTTTCAGTAGGGCAGAAGTTGGACTTCATTACCAGAGTCCACTGTAATGATTTCTCGGATATTTCTCCGAGTAGCCAAGGCTTGTGCAAGTTTGCATGCTTTTCTATATTTGGTTTTGTTTAATTTGATTGTACAAAGCTGTTGAAAAGCCCAGCTGAACGTTTCCACTGTCTGGAGTCGTGATCATGCCATTAAACCAGGAGTTCAAAGAAAAAAAAAGAACAGCTCCTGCTGGGTTTTCTCAGTGACCCCGAGCTCAAGATCCCATTTTTAGATAGGGACAGAAAAAAGTTCACTTATCATGTTGTTCTCATCTCAGTTAAGTTCAAACTTGGCTTATAGGGATAGTCTTCACCATCACAGAATCATAGAATATCCCAACTTGGAAGGAACCCACAGGGATCATCCAGTCCAACTCCTGGCCCTGCACAGGACATGCCAACAATCCCACCGTGATGTCAGTGCTGGAGTGTGTTCCTTGGTGGTGTGTCTGCTTAGGCTTTGCCCTTGGATTCTTCTGGATTTGCTCCTGGCTTTCTGGCTGGTGTCCTGCATGAGCATCACTCCTGAAGGATGGAGGCAGGAGCTCTTGGAATAAATGTCAGCTGGTGGTGTTAATTTAGGCTAAACTGATGTTTCATGTTGGAAATCCAGGATCACAGGCGGATCTGGAGTTGAAAACTGAACTATTGTATTAACTTTATTAATTATATATTAAATATAATATTTAACCTGGAGCTTTAACCTGGAAAGTGCTTCTTTTTTGTTACGAAAATTCAGATAATCCACATACAAAGTCCACAAGCTCAAAACTCACTGGTAACTCTTACCATTTCCAATACTGAGTGTGGAAGTGACCCTGTAACTTGTCCTGCAGCCTCTTGAGGTTCTCCTGTGCTTGCCTGGATGACATCCTTGTTTTTTCCTTTGAAATGAGAGTTTTGGCTGGTGCCATGGACACTGATGTGCTCCCTGGTCAATATTTTTGGATGTGGAGGGTTTAGGCTAAGCAGAGCTTTGGAAAATGCTGGATCATTCATTTCCTTTCCTTCTCTCTCTCTCTTCTGGGGTGCTGCATCATCAGTGGTTGCTGGAGTGGAAGATGCTCTGCAGGAATGGCACGGGGCCGTTGGGAGAGCAGGGCAGGTGTTAGCAAAGAACATTTCAGGTGTTAGGGAAAACATTGCACAGTTTCTGTCTTTTGGAGTTATCACCATGCTTTGGTTCCCCAAATGGTTCCCAACTTGGAGGTGACCTTCAAAGACCCCATGGTTCCATCCCTCCATCCATTCCCTCCTTCCGTCTCCTGGAGGGAGACATGGCTGTTGGGTTTTGCAATGTTGTTCCTTTGGGAGGTAACTCATAGTTTCATTTGGGAGTTTTCCAGGGTCTCTTTGTAGAATCTGAAAGTCTTGGGAGAAAATACGGAGTTTCTATTGAATTCTCCTTGCAAACCTCCTCCTAGTTCTGCTTTCCATGTGTGCCGGGGTGGCTGGGCTCACCTTTGGATAACACAGGTGTCCTGGATGGTGGGGAGGGGAAAACCCTAGAATTGAGAGTTAACCCAAAAAACTGTGCAAAATCCCTCCTGGGGAAATTGTCAGGTCGCTCATGACCCCTTGGCTTCATGTTCCAGCCACGATCACTGTTGGGCTGAGTGACCCATGGACAGTTGTGTTCATCCTTATCCCCCTTGGCTTCTTCCCTGCTTTTATATCCGTGGTGGCTTCAAAATAGCATTGAGTACAAGCAGTCATTTGTGTCTGAAAGGGGCTGTTGGAGTTTTTTGGGTCGATAGTTGCCTCTCAGTTAAACACATTTAAACTCCTTTTGTCCTTTGAAGGCTAATTCTGGTCCCGCTTTTAACCGGGAAAAATGGCTCCTTTGTTCCAGATGTCAAGAAGGACTGGTCGGATCACGCGCTGTGGTGGGAAAAGAAGAAAACTTGGCTCCTTAAAACGCACTGGACGTTGGATAAATATGGGATACAGGCGGATGCCAAGCTCCAGTTCACCCCTCAGCACAAGCTGCTCCGCCTGCAGCTGCCCAACATGAAGTACGTCAAGGTGAAAGTCAACTTCTCCGACAGGGTCTTCAAGGCTGTTTCTGACATCTGCAAGACGTTCAGTAAGTGCTGAAAAACGCTCACGGGGAGGTTGGCGTTTGGTTTGGCTCCTGCCTCTCCTTCGGTGCACGGGCTTGTCCCATAAATTCCCTAAATCGTCGGTGTTTTGGGGTTTCAAACACCCGCCAGTCACTTGGGCATCAACCAGCCTGGGTGTCCACTCTTTTTCCCTTTCAGATCTACCATTCTGTGTGCAGATACTTAAATAGCGGGACCAATTGAACCAAAAACTTACAAAGAACATTTTTTTGTGCTGATTTCTCTTCCATAGCAAGGCTGTCCTCGGTTTTGTGGCAGGCGAGGCGGTAGCAGCTCTACTTGATGTTAAAGCTGCTGGTGCTGGGTCGTAATTTTTTTCCCTGCAAATTTATGTGCTGGATGAAAAGCAAGCCCTGAAATGGGAAACCTGCCAACCCTGTGGGTTCTCTTCTAGTGGAAAATCACATTAGGGATTAAGTGATGATGCTTCACTGTAAAACTGTCTGGTGGAGGGAAGGAACCGAATCTTGCTGTCTCCTCCCTGGCTTCTCTTCACCTTCTTGTCTGTGTTGAGGAGAAACCCAGAAGAAAGGAGGGGTCATTCCCTGCCAGGTACACAGGGCTTGAATCCATCTGCTGCTTTAATGCATCGCTTTTTACCCACCTCCACAAACTCCTCATCCCAAAATCTGGTGTTTCTTCCTCCCCACCAAAAAAAAAAACCCAACGAGGAGAAGGTAATTCCACCTTGAGGAACTCAGGTGCTCAGGGTTGAAGTCCTCCCTTCCAAAAGGAGCCTGCAACCCAACCTGGGCTGTAGTAAATCTATTTCTGCCCTCAGAAGGCAGCTGAGGTTACTCTTGGCTGACCCAGTTGTCTGGTAAGGCAGGAAGAGCTCGACAGTACGTGCGGTGTCCGGTGCATCCGTGGTTCAGTCGGTATTTATAGCTGCTTACGAATCTTCGCTGTTTCTTTCCTGGTTCTTTTGGTGTTTTTCTAAAATACAAATATTGGGCAGTCTCTCCTTAAAATAGAAAAGGCTTAGCCAGCATTATTTCCGAGTGGATTTGGCTTTTCCCCCTGTGTCCCATTGGCCTTTTTGATGTCGTGCTAGACGGGGAGGTCACTTGGTCGCTGCTGAATCTCTCCAGCAGTGAGTCACGTCAGGAAATTCTGATACATTTAATCACAGAACAGAAGATCTGTCACTGATGCTGCTGAGCACTCAGAGCCTTACGTCGACCTGAAGCAGCTTTTTCTTCAGCTCTCGGTGTATTTATGGACAAACCAGCAGAATAATCCTAATATTTAAAGATCTGGAAGGGGGAAAAGCTGCTGGGATAGTGGCAGCCCAGCTGTGGTAGGAGGTCTCTGAGCAGGCAGCAGGAACACATCCGTCAAGGATGGTCCTGACTTTCCTTCCCTGGCATCCAACATACTGAAATTAACATTCCTGATTTTCAGGAAAGCAGGATTTTTACTGGAAATTTCACCTTCCTTTTAGTGACTCTTACCAACCTGAACTATTTGAGGAAGGCAGAAACTACATGGCCAAATACAGTGATTTAATCTTGTTTAGCCGTGGCCTTTGTGTTTACTGGGAGTCAGATGTTCAGCATTGCTACTGGGAAGATGGTGTCATCAGCTCAACATCAGCTTGAGGGAAGCGGGGATTGGGATGTGGGGAGGCAGCAGTGCTGGAGCTGGAGGGGCTGGGAATACTCTTCCCTGGACCACAAAGGATACCTGTACAGATATATAATATGTAGGTGTTCAAATACCACTATAGATGTACAAATACTATTATTTATAGTATATCTAATCTATTTTAACTTTTATGTATCTAATATACATAATATAAAAGTGTAAGTTATATATTAGGAACAAATTCTTCCCATTGAGGGTGGTGAGGCCCTGGCACAGGTTGCCCAGAGAAGCTGTGGCTGCCCCATCCCTGGAAGTGTTCCAGGCCAGGTTGGATGGGGCTTGGAGCAAACTGGGATAGTGGGAGGTGTCCCTGCCCATGGCAGGGGAGTGGAATGAGATGGTCTTTAAGGTCCCTTCCAACCCAGGCCATTCAATGGTTCTGTGATTCTCTTTTTTTCCCTCCCCAGTTTATCATGCCCTGATTTATTCCATGACTTTTCCCTGCCCTCCTCAGCACCCCTGCATGGGTTGGCTGCAGAGAGCTCTCATACCCCATATTAATCAAACTAATTGTCTCCCCAGGGAAAACTGAGTAGATATATCAAGGTGGAAGGGAACAGCAGTGATCCCAGCACTGTCCTTGTGTCTGCAGCTCCCTTGATTTCTGAATTTGGGGCCCAGGGAAGTTAGGACAGAGCTGTACCTGTGAATTGCTTGTATTTTGGCTGTACCTGTTTGCTGTCATTGCCCCTGAATCACTTAATTACACACCTCAGTAATTTTAGCATAAAGCATCATTAATGAGTAATTGAAGTAATTCCTGGTGTTGCCAGGACTCTGGCTGGTTGTGTTTATAAAATCCTCAATGCACAAGCAGGAACACACGTGGGTGGATTATTTAGGGTCGTCCTTCGCTTATATTCCCTTGAAATCGTACCCAAAGGTGTCACCCTTGCAGTGCGTGGTTGATTTTTAAAGAGAAGTCTCTGTTCTTGTGCAGAGGGAAGTTATTCCAAAGGGCAACTCCCTGTGGCTCCCAGGAGGCAACCCAGAGGTGGCTGTGGGAAGATGCCGGAGCCACTCGCACATCCCTCACTTTCTTGGAGGTCGTGTGAAGCCGGAAAAAACCCCAGTGTCATTCCCAGCGGCTGGATTGCAGCCCCCCCATTCCCACAGCAACCAGTCGGGAGGGTTAACAGCATGGATTGAACCCTGCCTGTGGAAGGAGCAGGCAGGAGGGGACGAGGGGATCGGATTTTGGATGGGATGGGCAGCCCTCATCCAAAGGGTGGCCTGGAATCCTGCCCGGGAGCAGCTGCTGGCAGGCAACTCCAGCCTGAAGGGCCAGTTTTGATCTGCAATTAAAGACCAGAGAAAGAGAAAGTAAAACTTCCCTTTTTTTTTTTTTTTTTTTGGAGCAGCAGGGATTTGTGCTTCCTGCCCAGCTGGCAGCAGGACACAGAGGTTGGGATGGGATGCTCCTGTGTCCCTCCCTCCTGTCATCATCCCAGTGGGGAGATATTTCTACCCAGAAATCAAATATTCAAGTAGGATTTGATGGGGCTGCATTTATTGGTGTGAGTGGGAATATCCTCATTGGAAAGTGGGATTTGGGGAGGTAGGAGATATGGCTCCATCGCAGAGCTCCTGCTAACCCATCATCTCACATAACCACAAATGCAAAAATCCCATTTTCCTCCATGGTGAGGAAAAAATTCTTCCATGTGAGGGTGGTGAGACTCTGGCACAGGTTGCCCAGAGAAGCTGTGGCTGCCCCGTCCCTGGAAGTGTTCAAGGCCAGGTTGGACAGGGCTTGGAGCAACCCAGGATAGTGGAAGGTGTCCCTGCTCATGGTAGGAATGAGGTGGTCTTTAAGGTCCCTTCCAATCCAAACCATTCCATGGTTCTATGATTCTGTGATGGCTCTGTTTGATTCCAGCCCAGCAGACCTTGCTCATGCCCTTAAGCTGCTTCTTTCCAGTATCCTCTTTCTCCTACTGCTGCCTGTATTTTTTTCCATGTGTCCTGGGAGCACTAAGGGACTCCAGGCAGGCTCTGCTGCTGCAGTGTGGGCACGTGGGAGAGGAAAAGCAAACAGCAAGTGTGAAAGTTTTTTCCCATGCCTTGGCGTTTCCTGCCCTGGCGATGCTCCTTCTCCTGGGGAAACGACATATGTTGGATTCACAGGGTGAGGGGACATGCTGTGACAGCATAAAAGCTCACATCCTTCTCCTCTTCCTCTGGCTGTGAAGATTTGGGACCTACACTGCCCTCCAGCCTGAGCAGGGAAGCAGGGATCATTCCAGATGATGCTGATGGGAGCTGGGAGCGCAGGGAGGAGGACTCAGTGCCGGAGCTGGGAGGAGGCAGCTCTGGGAGGAAACGCTCCAAAATTCATGACTACTCCCTCCCTTACCCACCCTGAGGCTGTGTAAGGCTGAGAAATTCCCTTCAGGCCCTTTTTTTTCCCCAGAGCCTCTTAGAGCATCACACCCAGCTCCTGCCTCCTAATCCTCGAAGAGCTCCGTGTGAATTAGTCACCTGTTTTGGAAAACCAAGTCTGGGGAGCATCCTGTGCCCAGCAGTGGCAGCTTCCGTGCCCACATCCCATCTTAATCTGATCCCCAGCTCCCAGGGGGTGAGGAGTGCTGGAAAATTGGGAATCCTCTTACATGGGGTAAGGGTGGTCTCATCTCAGGGAGCTTGTGGAGTGAGGAGGGATGGGATGCGGAGAGTCCCATGAGGGTGACGAGCTGCTTCCCATCGCCTCTCCAGCCCCAAAATAAGGAGGTTCCCAAGACTCTGTCAGTGATGGGGAGATGACAGCCAGCCTTCCTTTCTTCAGCCTCCAGCCACCAAATGCAACCCGAGCCGAGGTGACAGTGGCATTTGGGAGTGGTGGGATGCAAGCCCAGCCCAGGCAAGGAGACACCGTCCCGCAGCCCCGATGCCAAATGTGACCCTACCTTTTTTTTCCCTTTCTAAACGGTCTGTGCTCCAGGACAGAACGTCCTGTGACTCCTGAAGTATTTGTAACATTTCCACGCCCTCTCTTGCCAAAAAGACTTCTATAAAAAGCCACTGTTTGTTGATTTTTGGGGTTATTGGTTGTTGTTGTTTTTTTTTTTTTTCCGCAAAACTGCAACCCTTTGGTAGTCAGAGATGTGCAGCGTTCCCAGGGCTTGAGCCACGTCCCCTGCATGGTTGCTTTCCAGGAGCAAAGCTGTCTGGAGTTCACAGAATCATATAATATCCTGATTGGAAGGAAACCACAAGGGTTGAGTCCAGCTTCTGGCCCTGCACAGGACAACCCCAAGAATCCCACCCTGTGCTTTTCCTTTATAAACGTCTTAAACCTTCTTTTCCTCCTTCACAC